CCTCTCTCTCCCCTCTCTCCCTCTCTCTCCCTCTCTCTCCTCCTCTCTCTCCCTCTCTCTCTCTTCTCTCTCCCTCTCTCTCTCTCTCTCTCTCTTCTCTCTCTCTCTCTCTCTCTCTCTCTCTCTCTCTCTCTCTCTCTCTCTCTCTCTCTCTCCTCTCTCCCTCTCTCTCTCCCTCTCTCTCCCTCTCTCTCTCTCTCTCTCTCTCTCTCTCTCTCTCTCTCTCTCTCTCTCTCTCTCTCTCTCTCTCTCTCTCTCTCTCTCTCTTCTCTCTCTCTCTCTCTCTCTCTTTCTCTCTCTCTCCCTCTCTCTCTCCCTCTCCTTCCCTCCTCTCTCCTTCCCTCCCTCTCCCTCCCTCCCTCCCTCCCTCCCTGTCCGTCCTCTCCTCACACTCCTCTCTCCCGTCCCCATACCTCCTCTTCCCTTCTCTTCTCTCTCTGTCTTACCTTCCCCCTTCCTTTCCCCTCCCTATCCCTATCCTCCGCTTTCTTCCCCCTCCCCTCTCCTTACCACCTCTTCCTCTTCCTCCCCTACCAACCTCTCCCCTCCCCTCCCCTACCACCCCCCTACCAACCTCTTCCTTCCCCCTCCCTACAACCTTCCCCCCCCCCTCCCCTACCAACCTCTTCCCCCCTCCCCTCCAACTCTTCCCTCCCCCCTCCCCTACCAACCTCTTCCCTCCCCTCCCCCTACCAACCTCTTCCTTACCCTCCCCTCCCTCCATAACCCCTCGCTTCCCTCCACCTCCCTTCTTCCGTACCTATCCCTCCCTCCCTCCCCCCTCCACCCCCGCCCCCCAGAGAGCAACAGGGAACTCTTTGATCTCTGAACATCGAGCCGGAGAGGAACAAAAAGAAAAAAAAGAAGGAAAGAGAGAGAGAGAGAGAGAGAGAAAGAGGAAAAAGAAGGGAAGAAAAGAAAGAGGAAGTTTAGAGAAAAAAAAGAGAAAGAGTGAGAGAGAAAGAGAGAGAGAGCGAGGGAGAAGCACCTTCAGGTCGGTCAGGTCGAGAGTTCCATTGATTAGCAATAGCGGGATCGCCCTCAACGGCATCCCGGGATTCTGGCAGGAATTTTCAGCATGTGGGACCCAGAGACTTGTCAGCTTGTTGAAATAGGATGATGGAGAGATCCGACAACCTTCCCCTACCCCCCTACCCCCACCACTCCCCCACCTCCCACCACACCCCTTGCACCCCTGTAGGCCCTATCTACTCCCTCTCCCCCGCATTCTCTCTCTCCCCCCTATCTGCTTACCTGTCCTCGCTCTCTCATTCTCTTGTCTGTTTGTATTTCCTTTTATTTTTCTTTCTTTTTTACTGTGTATCGGTCTTTGTCTATATTTATTTTTCTGTGTATCTCTTTCCATCTATATATTTGTCTGTCTAGCTGTTTAAGTTTCTTTCCATTGATGTATCTATCTCGAAAAAAGCTCTTGGCTTTTCCCACCTTTCAGTCGATAGTTTTTTCATCTATCGCAAACCCGCCACCTGTCCCTTGCAAACTGACCCGACTCGGAAAATCCCCGGTGGCACCTGCAGGAGAGCGCACCTGTACACCTGTTCCTTCCCCGCTGTGTTACGGGGGAGGCGAGCGGTCCCTCCTGTTCAAAGAAAGACGAATAATTTATCTGTCTGTCTGGCTTTAAGGTGAGCTTGTATTTGCTTGCTGCAGTCAGTCCAGTTCGGTGCGCGCGCCTCGCCAAAGTTTGGCACTGTTTGGCACTGTTTGGCACTGTCTGAAATTCGTACTGTTTGTGATCCCGGGCCTTTCCCTGAGGTGGGGAGAGCGCTGGATCACTCTTTCCCTGTTTGTCTCTTCTTTCTTTCTGTTTCTCTTTCGTTTTTCGTTGCGCGCTCTCGCTCTCGCTCTCTCTCTCTCGCTCTCTCTCTCTCTCTCGCTCTCTCTCTCTCTCTCTCTCTCGCTCTCTCTCTCTCTCTCTCTCTCTCTCTCTCCTCTCTCTCTCTCGTCTCTCTCTCTCTCTCTCTCTCTCTCTCTCTCTCTCTCTCTCTCTCTCTCTCTCTCTCTCTCTCTCTCTCTCTTCTCTCTCTCTCTTCTCTCTTTCTCTCTTGTCTTTCCCCCTCCCTCTCGCTCCCTTCCCCCTCCCTCCTTCTACACACCTCGCTAACTCCTTCCCTTCTCTCCCCCCTTCCCCCTTCCTTCTTTTCTCTCTCTACCCTGCTTGTCCCTCTTGCTTTTCGCCCTTCCTCTCTTACCCGCCTCTCCTTTTCACCTCCGTCTCTCTCCTCTCTCCTCCTCGCCCTTCCTCTCTTACCAGCCACTCCTTCCCTCCCTCCCTCCCTCCCCTCCCCTCGCCCCCCTCCTCCCCTTCACCTTCCTACCCAAGGGACTGTTGTTATTTACTTTTCTTTTGTTTACCTCTGAACACACTCGCTTGCAGGCCTGAGGGGAGGGCCCGATAGAACTTTTGTTAACTTTTTCTTTTTTTTCCCTTTTTTTGGGTGGGATGGGGTGGGGGTGGGGGGTGGCGGGGATGTATGCATAGGGGGAAGGGGGGGAGGAAGGTAGATGAAACGGGAGGAGGAGGGGGGGTACTGTTAGTGGAAGATTTTGAAATATA